TGAAAACTACTACGTAGAATTCCTGAAGTTGCCTGTAATTTTCTAGTGCTTGAAGTGGGATCCAGTTCAACATGTCCCAAAATTGTAACCTGTGCAGCCTTGTCAGTAACAGTGTTGACTTTCATGTTTTTTGTTAGCAACGGATCCAGTCTCTATGAATTTAGATATTAAATTTATTACGTAGGAATGGCTGAGATTCTTACCGGGATGCCTTTCATTAAAAAAATCTTGTTGTTACCCGGGCCATTTCATTATTTCGAAAATAGAGAGTGATAATTTCAATTCTCTCTGCAGTGGTGTAAACCATGATAATTTGAATCGTTTGCTTCAAAATAGCGAATAATAACAAATCAATAGATTTCACTACCTAGACCTAGACAATTCTGACTGATGCAAAATCGGAACAAAACTACATGTAAAATTCTAATAAAACCCTTCAAGACTTCGATTATTTTTAGAATAACAAGTTTTGACAAATAATTTAGTCTCATTATGACTATTCTTATTCTACAGACTATTTTTCTTAAAATATTCATTACTAGAAGCTCTTATTACGATAGTTTTTGAATTTCATGCAATATCGATGATTTTTCTAAACTTATAATGAATATTATTAATGAACGTAAATATTACCTATTTGGAATATAAAACTGAACGTGGTACAGACAATAAGCCATTATGCACCACCCTACATTCCGAAATGTATGTATACAAAATATAACAGTATGTGAAAGGCCCATTAAAATAACCATGTAAATTACAAATTTATATGCTAGCAGTGAATGCAGGGCACCCCAATTACATTTTTTCATGTATTGTTGTCTTCACTTTCTTCATTCTCACGAATTCCCAGCTGCGTAAAAAGTTATCTAATTAGGTCGACTTTAATAAAGAATTTAAGTACCTACTGTGCAAAAATTAACTCATCATTATTAATTCACTATTTTATTGGGCCGAAAATCTTTCTGTATCAATAAGTAGACAAATTAAACATTTTTTTGAACAAAAATTTGAATCATTGTTTTATATAATGTTGCAACTTTATATACAATAAAAAAACTTACATATACCGAGTCAAATAAATAATACCATTTTCAAAAGAAAACATGTGACACAAGATGTAGAATACAAATTGCTTTTTTTTTCAGCAATATACAAATTCCTTCAAAACGAGAACGAAATTTATTTTTTATTTCTATAGAATTATTTCCGGCGTATGTAATTATTGATAAGTGGTATTTTGTTTACTTTAATCTATAACATTGAAGTAAGAATAAATATTTACACAACACTTTTGAGTGGTTTCAAAAACGTTTAGCCCTACTGACTTTTCCTTTCTGATTTTTTTTTATCAGAAATGAATGCTCCATTTGTGAAATAAATTGGATCCAGGATGGTCCTTAAGTACTTTCCGATAATAAAAGAGCTGTTTCTTTTCAATATTTTGAAAAAAAAAGTCTCTATGAACAAATATCCCAAACGATTTTTTTGTTTTCTAAATAGAAGGAGTAGGTTTAAAAAGAATTACAAATATTTGTTGGATGAAGTTTGGGCAACTAACAACTAAGGAAAGGTAAAAATTTATAAAATTGTGTACAATGAAACCTAAGAATCGCGACGCTACTGACATATTTATTAGTCCATTTTGTTATTAGTCGAATATCTAAGGAAAATATCTGTCTAATTTTATTTCAAATAAGAGTCGTCTTGAATTATTATATTTTGCAGTCTAAAATAGACTTACCACAGAGTAGAATAAATCGAAAATAATTCTAAAACAGTTTTTTAAAAAATATATAAAGGGTGGTCCTTAAGTAATTGTACTTAGAAGTATGGTAGATTTGTGACTTTAAAATATTACGATTTGAGCCAACTTGCCTTAATAAAATATTGATAATAAGAAAGATACAGGGTGTTAAAAGTGAAATTTCAAAAATTTTTTTTCGCAATAACTTGAACATTTTTGGATATTTATACAAAAAAATTTTTAACTGGGGGTTTTTTGGTATGAGAAATCATAATTTGGTATCTAATTTAATGTATCTTTAGAGGGCGCCACATGTGTGGCATAAATGTACGCTAAACTTTTTTGCCCATCAAGATAGTTCTCTTTTGGGAAAAAAATATCAAAGGCACGGCATTGTAAGAACAAAAGTGTATACTTGTTAACAGCCTCTAAACTTAACGGTTTTCGAGATAATCGAATTTTAAAAATCGGCTGCATAATTTTTTAATTCTAAAAGATACATTAAATTAGATACCAAATTATGATTTCTCATACCAAAAAAACCCGATACATTTTTTTATGTAAAAATGACCAAAAATGTTCAAGTTTGCGAAAAATAAATTTTGAAATTTCACTTTTAACGCCCTATATCTGTTTCTTATTATCAATATTTTATTAAAGCAAGTTGGCTCAAATCGTAGTATTTTAAAGTCACAAATCTATCATACTTCTATGTACAATTACTTAAGGTCCACCCTGTATAAATAGAAAATTTTTCTTGCAAATATAAATTCAAATAGAAAAACTAAGAATTAAAGATTTAAATTTTTAATAATTACCTACCATTACATGTACAACAAAAAAATTCGCCAGATTTTTTTTTGTAACATTAACAGTTTCACAGTTATTCTAGATTTATTCAACAGTGTGCTTCAGCTTACTTTAAATTTAGAAAAATATTAATTTAAAAATGATCCGCAGTGACCATAAAGTGAATGGTATTTCTTTTTTAAATATAATTTGGAATCAAATTGACTAACCGAATTTCCAAAATATTCTCATTGGCGTCCAAATTCTAGAGTTTTAATGATTTTGCTTTCCAATATCTCCGTTACTAATTGACACAATTGTATGTAAATTCAGAGGATATGTATGTACCCATATTTAATTAAATTGGACCTCGTTATGCAACAAAGAACTAACCAGCATTTTATTAAAAAATGATATCAGACTAAGTTTAATAATTTCTCTCAGATAGCTTTCGAGATATATAATATATATGCGGTTGTTTCAAAAAGGCTAAAACCCTATATTTTGAGGACTTGGTTGTTTAGCCAATCTTAACAATCACCTCCTTCATTAGCTCAACATGTTTCATCACCACCCTGTACATTTTTTTAATGAAGATATTTACTGCACAATATCCCGGAATATTATTTTAGGAAAATGGGATACAGAAACCTTTTTTTATTTTGACGAAAGATTAGTAGTAGTAGCGTATTTTTCTCACGGGACAAAGATTTTCATTTTCATCTATTGTTTCGTTATAGTTTTAAGCTTATTTTAAGTTAAAAAATAATAAATTGAAAACAGTTAATTCCTTCAACAAAATTATTTTTCTTAGAAATAACTATCTATCGAATTTTCAAAATACTGGTGCGAAATTTTGGAGGTTCTTAAGAGAGTCTCCCAATATATCTGCTGTACATATACCAATTAAGTGCATTATCGCTTTTAATTAAGTCGTCAGCTCAAGAAAATATATACGTCAAACCTCTTCAAAGATATTCGACTAAAATAAATGTAATATATGTATTTTTTAAAATTTCAAAATCCTGTGCTTCAACGAAATGTTATTTATTTCATTTATTACATCTAAAACCATTTTAGTCAGGAAATAAATATAATTGGTTTTATTGTTGTGAACATAACATTTATTAAAATTAGTGTCAAAATCGATGTGTAAGTACATATTAATTTTAGAGGTTTATTAAATTTCATCCGCTACATGTACTTGTATAACTAACCAATGTAATAATAATTCACAGCAGCAAATAATTTTATCAAATATTAGAGTAGGTACGCGTTTATTATGTAACAACATGTATATGTAGGGTTAATCTTAAATTGTTATCAACGTTAAACTCACAATCACCGCTTTCTTAAAGCATTTTTTGATGTAAAGGAAAAATTCAAAAGTAGGTATAGTCAATTTATCTGTAAAAATTTATTTTTATTTGTAGTATATATTCTAAAATCATAAAAAATGTAAAAACCTTTAATATTATTTAAAGTTTTGTCGTTAGATATAACAATATCTCAAAATAACTACTAAAATCTTCTAAATCGCAGTATCTATTATCAATTTTTTCGATCCTCCAATACTGAACAAATGCAACCTCTTGAAATGTTCTAGTTTGACTCTTATTTTTAATGAAAAAAGCATTTTAAAAAATGCAGTTTATGCAAATTTATCAAATGGGGAAATAGCAAGAGATATTGTTTGCTCGGTAGCGAAGAAGTTTCGGAAAATACATAAAAAAATATTTTTCAAGAAAAAATAAATAAATCCTTTAATGAAGTAAGGAATAATCAACATCTCGTATGAGATAAGTGTAAGAGACATATTTTAAGGTATATTGTATTTTTACGTGAAGTTTTCTTCTTAAAATGAACTGTGAAATTGTGCTTATTTTTAAATATGCCATAAGATAGAATTATTTTGTGACTAAATGAATAAATAAATGTCACAAATACAATATAGAATTTCACTTTACGGGGTAAACAAAAAATTTAAAAGATAGGTATTCACTTGTTCTAAATTGATCTCAAATGACATATATTTTGAAACTTTATTTTTAAAACAAAAGCTATACAGAGAAACGACAAAAAAGTATATTTAGCAAGAAGCATGTAGGTAAGTAACAATTAAAAAATATAAAATTTACCGAAAATATGTTTCCTTCATATGTGAAAATATTTTGTCCTACTTATTCTCATTCACAACACAAAACATTTTTAACACAAATTCCACAAATATTAATAGAAATATTTCACTGTCGATGAATTCTAGATGTATCCTTATTTCTCGATTACAGAAGACCAAGCAAATTGCAATCACGTACCTCGATTGTCGTTTTCAGTTGAAGAGATATACGCCATAACCCTAATTCATGCACTAAACTGGTCCATACGACACACTTGCGATACGGCTTGTGCTGATCATATAAAAAGTTCCTCTTCCCCGGATTCCTCATTCGATTTGCAACCTCGGTCATGAACCAACTTTAACCGAAACAAAAATTAATTAAAAAAATTGTTCGCTGCATTTAACTCTAATCTGTGAAAATGAACTCTAAAGTGATTAGTGCCGTGCTTGCTGTTTCTTTCGTTGTCGTCGTTGCCGCAGGACCTGTAGTAGATGATAGCAAAGGGCATATCAATTTGGTAAGGTTTATGTCAGATTCAGTTCTTATGTAGTTGAATCGCGGTTTCCTTCGGTGTGTTTACTTTGCTGAAGGCAGGATTTATTTGAGAGTTCGTAAATATACATTTTTATTATCTTCCGAGTCGTTTTCCAGTCAATTTCCCAAATATTCTCGCCTTCTGTTTATGCAATAATGTCACAATTTACGGCAAATTATTACTTATGTTTATGGTTCTTGCCATTAACGTAAAATCTTAAGTAGTTAGCAATGGTTTACGATAGTTTCTTTGTAGTTTTAAAAGCTGCAATTTAAATTATTAGAAATTGATTTATTGTTTGACGTCGAATAAAAATTGAATTTATTGAAATATCTTGTATAATTTCTAATACAAGGTATTTTTTGTTGCCACACTTTATTTTTTTACTTTATTTAAACTGATGCAAAATAATATTAAAATTTTTCATAAAATTCATACTCTGACACAATCTATGTAGACTAAAGCAATGCCCCACAGGCAAGCTAGTCATTAATAGCTATCTAAAATTAAAAAATGACTTGAAAATGACTAATATAACCAAGTAGTACTAATTATAAAATACATAAAGTTTTGAAATCATTTATTAATGTTGCAAACTTGTCATCTATTTTTGTTTCTAACACTTGTAACGTCACTTTGAACAAAAATCAATCAAAATTTAGTCAGAATGACATATCTAAATCCTTATCAGGTATTTTGTGTCAGAGAATATATCTTCATCTTATGAGAATTCCAGGAAAATTTTTAGAACTGATTTGAATTGGCATAACACATTTAAGGCAAAAGTACAAAAACTAATAACAAAAGCGTTTATTCCAAAAAATACATAGTTTTGTTTAAATTTAAAGTTATACTAAGAGTAGGTACATTTAAATGACACTCCACTTCGCTATAAAATACTAATCTAAGTTCTTTATATTATCTAATATTTAAACAAAACACCTATCACGAAATAATAAAGATTAGATTCATATATTTACTTGTTGCAGATCCAATCAAACGAGCCAACGATCGAAGAATCATTAATGAAAAAACTGAACACGAAGTGCTCTAATCGCGACATGAGTTCTTGCATGATGCTGAAGTTGGTGACATATTTCAACCGCCTTATGAAAAAATCGAACATAGATTTCGGGGATGTGGAAATCACTCAAACTTCCACGGAAACCATCAACTACGACACCGGAAGAAGTCTGAACGATATCGAAAAAATGTCGGAAGAAGAGCAATTGAGTCAATACTTGGTTGATAAAGTTTCGAACTTCGCTCGCACGAGGGCGCTGAAGTGGAAGGTGAGACATTTTTTATTTTTATAGGTACAAAACTTTATTATTTTAAATAATCATCATCCCATTTTCAATATGTTAGTTCCAATTCATATATCAATTTGATTTTTTAATAAAAGTGAATAAAATTTACCCATGTCTTAGGTAAATTAGATACGATGGTGATCTGTTATTAATATAAAACTAAGTAATGTCTGTGATTGTGGTTTTGAACTTGCCAGTTACTTAACTAGAGCTTTTTTGTTTGAATTTCACCACAATATTGATTTTTATATGCTCTAATTTTGTGATCTATATTTTCGTGTATGCTTTTTCTACACTGCGTATATTTTCATGTATGCTTTTTCCACGCTGTGTATGTTACTAAGATTTTATATTTCTGTTTCAAAATAAGGTATTCATCACAAATTTTTAATAATGGGAAAACCGTTAAATAATAAATTTCCTACAATTAAAAAGTACCTACTGCATTTTTGAAATACAAACCCGTTTCCCGTTTTTTGATACTTTTTCCTCCGCAAAATATTCTTAAGAAAAGCAAATAATTAAAAATAGTACTTGTTCAGGCATTAGCCAGAGATCGCTTCCAAAAAACATAACTTTTTATTTAAGTTGATATAGGAAAAGATAAATTTAAAATAGTAAAATATCAAGGATATTATTTGCAACGACACAATTTTTGTCTAAAGTAACCAATGTAGTTATTCCATTTTGTGTGCTGTTCATTATGACACATCGAAAAATAAAGGTGTTTTTTACTAGCTTTTTAAATATTGGAATTTTTAGTGTTAGGAGTTAGGATGTACTTCAATTTATGAAATGTCATAATTATATAAATAATTATTGTTAATTATTATACACCATCTCTTAAAAATTAAAATCATTCTGCATTTATTATTATTAAATACAATTTTTAATCATTTGTGCCAGCAACATTCTTAAATACATATTTATTGAAGCACTTATTACCTAATTGTATTACATGGGTATAATTTCATTCATTTTTTACTAAAATTAAAAAAAAATGTAGTATAATTAATCAGTTATTTCCTCAATACAAAATTGTTCATTTACTGAAAAGTGGCACAAGTTCATGTTCATGGTACCCCTTGACCTAGTGATAGTTGAACATTCCACAGATTGAGAATTGTTTGTCTTCCTACATTAATCAGAGGCCGTATATTATGATAATTTTATTCTGTCTAAGAAAAGAAAGTTAGGGCAGTCAACACCGCTGGAAGCAAATTCCAGTGGGCGGTCAAAATTCAGTTCTTACCAAATAATCTTCCAGTTGTTAGAATAGACATAGAAAGTGAATTTTTAATATCCTAATTTTTTTTAATATCTATATACTCGTATTTGTCTACATTGTTATTACAAATATAGATTTAGGGTTAAAACACTGTTCAATAGTAAAATACGTATTTTATGTGTATGGAAGGATTTTTTTTATAATTTAAGTAAGGTGTAAAATATTTTGTTTTACTAACCATATGATTTTAAATTCATTATCCATTAGTTGAAATTTTTTTATATAAACGTTTGCCCTTCAATCTCTCGCTTTTTAGATACAAGGTGTTGAAATTTTCATAATATTATTGGAAGAATCATTGTTTTTTTGTTTTGTCATTTTTTGATATTGTGTTGTATTACAATCTATAAGACGTGTGATATTTCATTATTCTAAAATAGAAAAATAATAGAGATAAATACAAGATGTAACTGAAATGCACAGCCAAACGTTAATGAGACAGAAATTAATGAAAAAATTCCTACTAACATGTGCTGTTAATTATGATGTCAAACATGATTTTAAATAATTCTATACACATTAGTGTTGCGTGTAATCCGTGATTATTATAAAACTTCGCTTTGTTTCACTAATTTAATCCAGGTTGTTATTTGATGTTAGACAGACGAGATAATCTTGAGTTAATAGTTTAGCATATACAGAGCGACAAAATAAAATTTTTTAAATAGAATTTTTACGAAAATTTCCAAACGGTGCTAAATATTTTTATGAAATTTGGTATTCCGGGGTTTTTGAGGATGCCAAATATGCTGGTCAAATTATTTTTTTGTAATTTTTATAGAGGGCGCTAGTGATGCTACCTTCCTATTACATTTTAAGTTCAAATTTTTTTAAGGTTAGGTTTTTTTTACCATTCGGGCTCCAATTCCTAATGTAGGTACAATTTTATTTTCTGAAAATAATGTACTCTTGTTAAAACTTCCTAATGTGGACTGTTTTCGAGAAAAAGGGCTTTTGAACTCTTACAATATTACGGTATATAAAATAAGTGACTTTTCTCAAAGTAGGCTTATGTCAAAACTTATTGATGGATGTCTCATAAACAACGCATGCATTCTTAGTAATATTTTAAATTCTAATTAATCTTATATCAAAATTTTAGTGACTGTAATTAGTCATTACTAACTACAGTCACTAACGATCACTTAATTTCATATTTGGTGTCATACAGTTCGTTATATCTATCACTATTTAACTTCAGTGATCATTAAATATACTTACTATAAGTCTCGGCTTCATTATAAATGTACGTTTTATAAAGAGCGAAATACTCACTTCATTAACAAATTCTCCCTGCTTTTGTTGTTTTTAATATATCTAATTTAAAAATAACAATCCAGCAACCTGAAGCTATTTATAAAATACGTTGGCAATACTGATCATCATTCTTGCGTTAAAAAAACAACAACGCAAAGCACGCTTTCATTATGCCCTTATATTTAGCGAAAAGCATACATTACGGTTAGAATTAAAAGAAAACAGGACCTAAGACTGAAAACAGAAACCGTTTTTATAAAGAAAGCTTAATTACGCCATATAAAGAACAAGGTCAAGTGCAAAGCAAAGTGTGTTAGAAATTTATTACATGGTGAGAACACTTTGTTTCTAGCAATGCTTTAACCTAGAACTAAATTACTTTTTCGCATTACCTACAAAACGTTATTCACACAGGTAGTTCCGTTTTATCAGATATATTTTATCGTCCGGTGTTCAATTACTGAAGTATAACTCAGAAGTGGGTGACCAGCCGGTACTGTGAAATCTTAATACCTGGAATTAACAATAAATATTTCTTATTAATGTGAGACAGATTGGAAAATAGAAAATGTATTTGTGTCGTCAATGCTATAAAAGAACTTTTCTACACCGGACGAGTTTAAATGGTCCGAAGAAATTATAACACTTTAAGAATACTTTTCAATCGCGCTTGATTAATAAAATACTTTTATGAGCTTACCTACAATAGCAATAATTAAGTATGTTTAGAAAATAAAATAGGAGACATAATTCCAGCAGAAACCAATTCTCTAAATGTTTTTCTAAAAAGTGGTTATTCACATTTTATTTTACAATACGTCAAGTAAAACTGAATTTATCTGTTTAATTTGACATTTTAGTAATTAAATTAATATATTTTATTATTATTTTTACAATCACAGTATGACTACGTGAGAACTTTGCACATGTGCAATTAGGTATCAACTTTTTGAAGGATAATTTGACAAGCAAACGAGGATTTTAAACATTTTGTTAACACAATTTTGGCAATAAAATAGTTTTTAGATGTTGCCACGGGAATGTGGAATTAAATATTTTCAACTAACTGACGTATATCTTTGTTTTATAATTTTAAGTATATGTTTAATGTATTAATTCAAGAATCTTTCTTATTAAATACAATCTGTGCCATGAGAATTATCAGCATTTGTCACAGTTCAAATAATTCGCAAAAAATATTAATATGAAAATTATACGAGGTGAGTTATATTCAAATACAGTTTTGAAGGGGTTTCTCGTATTCCTCGAAATATTAGAAAATATATGTTAAGCTAATACATGATCAAGATTCGAGGGAGTTGAATCGCGAAAACCTCATCTTGATATATTGATTCATTTAAAAGATATAGAACGTTTTTTATTTTTAGTAGTTTCTCTATAGAATAACTTTTTTATTTATGAAAATCATAAATTTTTTGTAAAGATCTTTATTCACTTTTAAAAAAAATACGGTGTCGTATGTGATATTTTTTCTAAATCTTCCGATTTTTCACTTATAACCCAATACTAAACATTTTTTTATGTACCACTGTATATTTCGATTCAGGAAATCTTTACTCTAAAAGTATATCTGTGATATTATTATCATAATATAATATAATTTATAATTAATTTTAATTAATTTTTTATTCACACAAACAATTTATATACATAATAAAATACAGCAGTAAGAATAATAGTGAATAAATAAATAGACATAAGTGACTAAACACTTGTTTTGTACAACAAAAGTAATAATAAAATATGTTAAATGAAACAACTTAGTAAATGAAAACGAAATTGAATACAAATCTACAATAAAAGTAAACTAAAGACTTAGTACAAACAAATTATTAGAAGACAGTAAGTATATAAAATCGCACAGAATTCCATACGCGTAGTTGTGTGCCGTACAGGACTATTAAGCATAACATGTAAGTAGTTAAAAAGAATGGTCGGTACTTAAGAGTTAGTGAAATATATTTTCATACATCATTTCATATAAATTTGGATTATAACTGAAAACTGGAAGTTACAGAAAAATATCACATATACTCGTACCACTGAATTTTACTCAAGAACAAATAATTAAAGTCCTTTTTAGTAAATTATAAAATTCTCACAAATAAAGTTGACATTACAGAAGATTAGCCAAAAATTAAAAATGTTCTGTATTAGTCAAGGCTGACCTTTTATAGACAAGAAATCGCAGTTTTAGTAAGACAATACATGATAGAAAAAAAATTATCTAAACTATCAAAATTTTGAAATACATGAAAACACCGGAATGTAACTTTCCTGATTTATCGAGGATTTTGTAAAAAATGATTATGATTAATTCATGTCTTAATAGTCTCATAAAAGCATTGTGCGAGGTGTGATTATGTTTATAATAGCGTAAACGATTTTCTGTATATTCAAGAGGCGTGTAAAGTTC